TTGCGAGTAAGATAACGAAACTAATTGTCCACAGTGATCAGAACTCAATTTTTGAATTATACACTTATGCAACAGCTTATCATTTGTAAAAATGTTATCTATACATGTTGCACTACATTTAGTAACACGCATTGGCTCTAAAAATAAATTAAAAGACCATATGATTTAAATAATGATCTGAATTTAATATTGGTGGAGGTACCTTCTAGGAGATTGGTATTAAAGTCTCCACATATTACAACATATTTATTCTGTTTATTAAGCTTAACAAAAACTTTCTCCATATTTTTTTCAAAAGTATCGTATATAGAACATGGGGGTTTGTAGACACTCATAACAATGAGGTGCTCAAACTCAACACATGCCATTTCTAACGTTCGCTCAACAGAGGCTCACAATATCTTTACGTTCTTTACATGATAATGATTTACTAGCTAATAATAACGAGCCATCTCTTAAAACCGTTTCTCTATTAAACGAACTGACCACCTGGTGATTACTGAAGTTAAACATTAAGTTATAAGCTTTTGACCAATGTTCAGTAATACATAAAATATGAATATTGTTACTATTTAATAACAAATCGTTTTCTAGCTCTTTGCCTATCATGCCTTGTATATTCTGATGCACTAGGTGTAAACAATTTTTATTATCACTTTGTGGAGTATTAAGGATTTGTAAGGTACATTCTAAATTATTCAAATTAATATAACTGCTAGAGACAGCCCATCAAAAAAAATTCCTATCTGATGAAAAGAACTGATTCACCTAATTGTGAAACGTGTGGAATAATAGAAGACTTTAATTCATTTTTAATGGAATGTGAGCGGAACCGAGGGGCAAGGGAATTATTTGTAAGGACCTATAAGATAAATGTGTACAATATGGGTATTCCGCAAGGCATTCTACATGCCCCCACCTCGGATATTGCATTGAGTATGTGCAGATTAATAGTAAATGTACGTATAGATTTTCAGTTAGTTATAATGGGATTGACATGTTAACAAATAAAAGTCCTTAAATAAATAAAGAGAAAAAAAAACTGTTACGGGATTACCTCTATAGTCTCATTTTCTAAATTAAATGACTTGGAACCATTGAGTTATATGTACTACGTACTAGAGAAGCCATTCCGAACATTGACTATCTGTGATTGACTGTGTTCAACTGAACTGTAGTGCAATCCATACAAACTAAATACTGCGTAAATTGAAGATTGTGAATTCCATAAAATAATTATTATTACATTTTATTTAGAAATATGTTTGTTTAGATTAAATTAAGATATTTTATATTAAATCCTTATATTTATTTTATATTAATATCTTTATTTTATATTAAAGTCTTCGCACATGCGCGACTACTACTCCCGCGCATGCGCGAAGACATAGAATAGGACACAATTTTTGTTTGGAATGGCTTCTCTAGTACGTAGTACATATAACTCAATGCTTGGAACTGATTAAAAATTACATATTAAGTCATTAGACGGCTCAATAGAAGCAGATGTCTGTGTAGTCACTAGCCAAGACCTTGGCTGAGTTAATACGTGGTAGAGCCATGCTGCAGCTATATTAGTAGTATAGTTGTAGCACGAATGAGTCGGCTCGACCGGGGAAGGACCACGCTCTCATAGAATACCAGCGTAAAATAGCAGCTTAACACTGCTGTGTTTCGTATAGTAAGTGTAGAGAACCGGAGACACTTTTTACTGGAAAAGAGGCATTCCATCTTAGTCCTCACGGGTGACAACGCATCTGCATTTTGATTCGCAAACGAGGATAGATGTAGATGTCTATGGGCCACAGCAACCACTTACCATCAGGTGGACTGTGTGCTTGTTTGTTACACTGTCCTATAAAAATAATATATAAACAATAAGATAGCACATTTGCTATCTGTCTTAAATTATATTTGGATAGGTAATACCTATCTGTAGTCAAAAATTTCATTGTTAAATTATTTGACTATTAAATTAATTCTATTATTAGAATTATAACAATTAAATGTCAAGTTGTAGTATAGTAAATTGTAACATGAAAAGTTATTCATTAATAAATTTAAATTGTATCTCATTTTATTTTCCTGTGGCCAACCCAGTATGTAAGGCAATAATTTTATGTACATTTAAAGTAGTTAGATAATCAATATATTTAAATAATTGATTTGTGTTTACATTGCCTCTTCTCCCAACAAGAATTATTAATGTGCTAGTAGGGCAAATCTTATTAGTTAAAACTTTATTCATTATATGACTACAGGAATGCTCCAGGCACATAATAATTACTAACCAGATGGTCTTTTAAACAGTTATTTAACATGATGCCTAAATTTTTGCCTAATCACAATACATAACTATTTTTTTTAATATTTACTTTTTAAGTTAATATTCTTTGTCATGGCACTGTCATAGGGTGTAGGTGAAAATAATGAGTCCATAGATTACTGTATATATACTAGAGAAATGAGTCCTTATGGTGAGTATAGAGAACCGGAGACCCTTTTTACTGGAAACAAGGCATTCCATCTGTCCTCAGGGTTGACAACGCATCTGCATTTCCTCTTCTGGCCAGTTCGTCTGCTGCATCGTTGCCTCTGGATCCACTGTGTCCCTTTATCCATAGCAGAACGCATCTGCATTTTGATTTTTAATTGAGGGTAAATGTAGATGTCCAAGACCCTTTTAACTGGAAACGAGGCATTACATCTGTCCTCAGGGGTGACAACGCATCTGCATTCGGATTTTTCATTGAGGGTAAATTTAGATGTCTGGGCCACAGCATCCACTTACCATCAGGTAAACTGTATTGCTCTAAAAAAAAGCTATTAAAAAAATGTCGATGGATGCACCTGCAAGCATTTGTCGCACTCCTACGGGAAGGCCTATGTTCAGCAGTGGATATATTTATCAGAGCAGCAATTATCATTTGCTATAATTGATACTGTAGTGACAGTGTAAGAATAATACTAATCAGTCTGTGTCATAAGAGGCGACAAAGGGAACTGAGAACCAGGAGATGCACAGCAGGATCTTGCTTGACAATGGCTGAATGATACTGCAATTTCTAACCTGCCAAGTGTGACAGCTATGGAAAATATCCCCCCTATGAATTAATCTATGGGGAATCAGTAGTGGACTTTGATGTGGCTGCTATTTTATGCTGATATTTTGTGAGTGTGGTCCTTCCCCAGTCAAGCTAACCTGTTCACACTGCAACCATAAAACAGCTGCAGCAGAGATCTTTGTCACACAATCACATTAACAAAATACTAAATACTAGCTGTGCCCGCGGCGTAGCTCGCGTATACAGGTTTTACATAAAGAATTTGTCGTTTAGGTAAGAGAATATTAAACGATTTATTTCATTACTGTATCAATAAGTGGTAACTAAATAAATCATTATCATCAAAGTTCTAAGTCGTTTATGATAGAGCTTCTGTGTAAACGACGTTAGAAGTAGGCTTAGCCGGGGTGTACACAAAAAGGTTACGGGGGCTACTAACGCGGGAAAAAGCAACATAGAGTTGGCCATGTGCAAAACAGTCAGTACTGAGGTACACTCCTACAACGCGTAAAGTTTGACCTTGCGCTTTATTTTCGGTCATCGCATAACACACACTCACTGTAACTGGGAGCTGAACGCGCTTAAAACTAAAAGGAAAGTTACTTCTTAATAGAGGGTTTTTGGGCAGTGCTGCCAGATAAAAAAAAACTCATTCAGCTCTAGGACAACACAAAAAGCGCTAGATTTCATGAAAACAGCGCTTTAAAAAAGCCCTAGATTTCGCGCTAAATTAACTACAAACAAAGTTTGTGTTTTTTTATATAATCATAATAAAGAAAACAACATTAAGTTTTTTTTCTGGCAATATTTTTTTGATGTATCAATACTTCGCAGGACATCGACTTATAATTATGGCAATTGCTGTCAACAGTAGTTAGTACTGTACGAACAATAAAAATGTCATTAATTGCTTTAAAGTGCAATGTATTTCGCAACTTAGTTTCAGATGTCAGCATCTGATTGCGGTTGCTACACAGTTTCTTTGTGTTATAACTTCTAAGTAACTTTTAACTTAGCTGTGCTCTAAGCAACTGACTGAAACTGAATAAAGCAAAATAAATGCGTTGCCAAAACCATGAACGAAAACTTTAGTAAAGGGGATTTCCCCGCTTATAGTCGTCGGTAAAAAAATCAAGTTCATCATCCTAAAGGGGAAGCCAGGATATCCATAGCACAGGGTATCCTAGTTTGGACTCGTCTCCCATGCTCTTTGTTTTGTGGAAAAAGATAAACTGCAATGTACTATTTGTGGGAAAAAATAATAAAGGTCATTATTATTATTATCGGTAATGTGGACTAACAGTGCTGCTATAAAAGAGTTAATAACCCGCTAGTCGCTAAAATATTGAAATGTGTGCTAAATACACCAAAAAGCGCTGGATTAAGCTAGGTGCTAAAATTTCGAAATGCGCGCTATACATTCCAAAAAAGCGCTAAATCTAGTTCCCAAAGCGCTAAAATGGCAGTACTGATTTTGCGTATATTATAAATACAATATCACGACATTTCGTTGCAAAATTTTTATTTATGGTCGGGTTCCGTTGTATAGCTTCGATGGATACAAATTTCTTCAGTAAGTCTCAATACGATTCATCGGCGAAAAATCTCAACATAGCAATTCAGAAAAGTTTGTAATTTGTACAACTCCATCTATTACGTCCTTTGTGTGAGAAAACATCCTTTTTAAATCTCTTTTTGTGTTTTAAGTATAAATATATTAATTATTATTGAACTTTTTTTTACACACAAATCTTTTTATTACTATTTCTGAGATTTTATGGCGCCATTGAACAAATTCGAACCTACATTTCAAAATAATAATCATTACTTTCGATAGAATTAACCAATTTTAATAAAACAAAGATTAAATGTAACTCGAAGATACGCTTTATGATTTTCTTAAGGATTTCTTTGAAAATAAAAGATGTTTACTTTAGACGTGATGCGTTCATATAATAACAGACAGACAATTCTAAAAATTATAAAATGTTCTTATTTAATTATTTTCAGTTCCCCATAATGATTTTAGCCACCAAAATATATATACAATGTACAGAAAGAGACACATGTTATCATCATTTTTATTATATGTATATATTTAAAGAGAGATGGCGCTGCTAACATCAATTCTAAAAATAAAAGAGATTAATTGACGCGATTGATACATTATATAAAACGCAAGAGAACTTATAAATCAGTGCCTGCACAGTAAGCAAAAAATAAAGTTTGACTCTCGCCAAAACCAACGCAATTGTTAATAGCTCTTTTAAAATTTGATTTACCACATAGAGTACTCGGCGGTAAAGAATAAATTGAGTTTGTCAACACGCAGTAGGGCAGCGAGTAATATAATAAAGATTAGCAGTAAATATGAAAACTCATCTACAGGAAAAAACCACATTGCAATTGCATTACATTTTCACAACACCACCATCTATCGAAGAAATGGGTTAACTATTGTGCTTCAGATTTAGTTAATAAGGTTAATATATTTTTGTATAATATATTTAATACGTTCTTTAATACTTTTGTTTACTGCGTTTTAGATATACATAATTATATCATTATTTTACATAATTTAACTATGATTTATGATATGATATTAGTTTAAAATGCACTTGACGACTCAAACAAAGCCACCGTTGAGCAAATTCGTACCTATACTTCCCTACCCACACTTCAGAATATTTATCATAACTTTTGATGGAATGAACTGATTTTAATGAAATAAAGACTAAATGTAACCCGAAGATACACTTTATAATTTCCTTAACAATTCTTGTGATATAAATTAGTACTTTATACGTGATACGTTAACAAACAAACAGACAGACAGACAGACAGACAGACAGAAAATTCTAAAAATGGTAGAAATGTATTTAATTACTTATTTTTAGTACCCCTCAATCACTTTTATTACAAAAATATAAAATGTACAGACATCTGCTATTTACAGTTTTATTATATGTATAGATGATAAAGGTAATATAGAATAAAAGGTACTTTAAATGTACTTATAGAGATTTATTTAATTTATTTACATTACATTCTTTCAAAATACCAGTCTAAGCTCAGCCATTCAATCACCTCATACTACATTAAATTGCAAGTCACCTTCAGACACTCTTACAAATAATATGTCCTATACAAATCTCAAACGATTCATAAGACAGTCAAGTGGTATCACAAAATGTGTAATGACTAAATTAATATATATTCTTAATAAGGCGCGTATCTTCTAGGTGGTGATGGGCCACGCATTCCCGGTCTGTGGACAGACAAAATGAAATTAGAATAGAATAAACTTTATAGGCAAATTGTAACTTGAAAATAAAAAAATACATAATATATATATATATAAAATGTAAAAAATCATTACACACCAAAAGGGTTGATTAACTGAGGTCATTTTCACACAATATATTTTTATTGAGACAATAATTCATAGCTTTGTTAAGGATTTGATAGGTGCACCTGTTGTCAATTTGTCTGCCGACTTCCAAAAAGGAGACAGTACTCAATTACACTGTATTTTTTTTTATATGTGTTACCTCATAACTTTGTACTGGATAAACCGATTTCGATGATTCTTTTTTATATAAAAGCTGATAGTTCTCGTGTGGTCCCATATGAATTTGATCAAGGTCAGACCAATAGTTTTTGAGTTATTCTTAAATAACTTATATTGAAGTCGGCTGTACAAAATTTTTAATTTTAAATTATTTTTATAGAATGGTGGCAAGCAAACCCATACTCATTCCACCTGAAGAAAAGTGGATGTTTTAGCCCATAGACATTGTGTCTATCCTCAATTAATAATTAATTGCAGATGCATTGTCATCCCTAAGGACTAAGATAGAATGCCTTATTTCCAATGAAGTGTCTGGTTCTTTACACTCACCACACGAAATATTAATGTGTGAGAGCATGTTTTTCCCCAGTCGAGTGAACCAATAGTGCTACAAAAATAATGTAGCTGCAGCAAGGCTCTACCATGTATCTCACCAAGATATTATAATAAATTCTATATTTATGGACCAACGTGACTCTTATTCACAATATTATGTATCATTGATTTAGTGCCAAGAAAGCAAATCCCAAAATCTGGCCACAATAGATGGCACTGTGGTCCAGTTATCAGTATTATAGGAATAGTTTGGGGAAAATACTAGATATACCATTAGGCCTCTGGTCGGTAGTAGAGCTTACACACACACACACGCATTACATGTGCATGCACACTTAACACATACTTTTTAAGGAATACTTGTAAACATGATAATATAAATTCACTAAACTAGCCTTTGAAATACAGGCCCAATATACTAGTTTAGAGGCGGCTATTATTGACCACTGTAAATTTTTATACATGTAATTGTGTTTTAACAAAGATTATAAGCCTGTAGTATTCTGTCTGGTCTGGTATTAAACATGTGGAATTACTTTATATTGAATAAAGTACAAAAATAAAAATATAACCAAGTGAAAGCCTCATCAGGGAAGGCTAAATGGCTGAGGGTTAGTGACACTGCCTTATACCAGTATAGATGGTTGAAGAGGATCCTCCTCAAGCTGTACAAGGAGTAGGATTCTTTGTCATCATAGACAAGGATAACATAAGAAAAACCAAAGAAGGATACAAAGAGTATCTTCCTTAGTATCATCTGGTTTTGACTCTCTGGGAACCCTTCCTGTAGATTATGGCATCTCTTGGATGAGCTTTCTTAGCTTAAAAAAGAGGAACAAAAGTGACCAACCTTTTCTACATGGATGATCCCAAGTTATTCGACTCCAATTGCTAAGCATAACTTTTTATAAAAGTGAAATGATTTTAGCAACTTTATAGAAAAGGAGGCAAAGGAACATATGGCTCACTACATAGAAAGTGATCACCATAACCCATTAAAATTTGCAACACCAGAGGAATTGAATTGCAGGTACGTTGCCAGTATTTTAGAAAAGTAAGGTCCCTCAGAGGTATCAGTTCAGAAAAATCTCTGGCGATAATAAAACCCAGATTGAGCGTTGCAATAATTCCATGAGAAACACATAGTAGTAGACTGCCTAATAATGAGACTATTTGGATGAAATTTAAGAGTTATGCCAAAGTGTACAGTAGTGGCATTTAGCAGTTTGAATTAATCCCAACAATTTCTAATAAAATGCAATAAGATGAAACTTCTTGGAAGGCCGGGTGATCAAACCTATTGGAAAGTACTTAGTTATCAATGAATCAAGTCACTCTCAGTTGATTGCAGTCAAATGGAAGGAGCTAGTATTGAGGTAATGGCCTAAAGATGAGAATGGTATTCCAAATAAGGCTGAACTTGTATTTTATGAAGATTGAGTATGAAATATCAGCGCCTTCCATTCCAAGTGACAATTTTATCAGTATGAATACAGGGATGGATGATAGTTCTTCATGTTTAAAAGGGGTAGGATTACTTATTCGGAGAACATAAGACTTATCTATGCAATTCAATACATGGCCAATAGGAGCAGGTGCACAGGGCATGCAATGCCATGGGCATGGTTTCTAAAAGGCCATAAAACAGGAGTTTTGTCATTCACAACGTTTGCATCTGTTTTTTTGTCATAAAACCGAAATCCATTTATTTACATTATATTTCAAGGTGGTAAAGCCTGGGGATTCCCTTGCACATAATACTATCGCCTGGATAAGGCAGTGGGTACAGGTGGAGTTCCACCTGCACCAACTTCTTTCAATTGTCATTACTTTCAAATTAAATTTGCTGGATTCCCGTTCAAGAGTAGCTTAAGTGGATTGAGCCTGCAAATATTTGCATTTAATTTTGATTGTCACTCTTCAGTCCCTAGTAGCAATATATAAATTAATAGGTAATTATATTTACCTTCTATCATCAAATGTGTCACGGCTGAAATCTTCATACATTCTGTAATTGAAAAAAAGCAGTGGTTTAGATACTAGAATATAAATTTTAGTAGTTTGCATAAATCTTTATATTACTAATGCAAGAAATTAATGTGTTCTTACCCACGGGACATCTGTGGCCCCCGTGGGGGACTCCTGCGGCTGAACATGGCGTCATACGATGACCTCATGGAAGCCATACTGCTACGCATCGGCGGTAGGCTTGGCATTGGGGGCATGGGCTCACGGCGAAGCGGTGGCGATACAAAGTCCCCTCGGGCTCCTCGGGAAGCTCCCATTTCTAGCCCCCGGGAAGCACCAACCGGATACCTCCGTTCGAAAAGCTCTCGAGGAGAGTCAAATCTCGCACGGTCATAATACCCATCATATGGATCCTGTTACAATACAAATATTATCAGAATTTATAAAATAATTACATAAACAAAAATATTTGTATTTAACTTGGTATTTCTAACAAAATTACTGAGCTAAAATTTAGACAAGAGATCTAAAGGTAGTTTTAGCATCACCGAGCCCGAGGGATCGGAGTCGGCCCGAGATAGGTACCGTGCGGAGATCGGGTCCACGCGCTCGGCCTACGTGATGCATCGAGTACGAGATCGTTACCGACGGATCGAATAGATAAAAGTAGAACGCGTTACCCCAAATCCTCCCATCATGCGATCGCGGAGGAACGGCGGCGGCGGCGGCGGGGGGTAGGGGTCGCGGCCGAAAGCTCGATCGCGGAAACCGTTGCGGTCGGGGCCCAACGCCTTCGGGCACTCCTTGGACCAGTGGCCTCCGCGCCCGCAACGGTAGCATTGCTCGGGGTCGCCCATACCGGGCCGCTGGCGAACGCGACTCGTGGACAGCTGAACCTTCATCGGCTGCCCGTCCACCATCATACCGTTCAGCTCTTTGATAGCCTCGTTCACATCGCCCGACGCGTCCAAGTGCACGAAGCCATAGTTACGCACGATATCGCACTCTACCACCGTGCCGTACTTCTGAAACAGCTCGCGGACCTCGGGCGCGCGCGTCTTGTCCGTTAGATTACCGACGAATATTTTCGTGGTCGGCGTCGTCGGCGCCTTTCGGCTCTTAGCCGCTTCTATTTTAATCGCTTGCCCATGCACTATTTCTCCGTTTAAGTTCTGAATTGCTTCGCGGCCGACTTGCTCGTTTTCCATGTGCACGAAACCGTAATTTCTGACGATATCGCATTCTACGACAGTACCGAATTTCTCGAATAGCGGTCGGAGATCGGCGTCCGTCGTTTTATCGGAAAGATTCCCGACGAAGATTTTGAAAGTACCGGCGCCCGGCATTTTAGTTTCTGAAACGCATACACAATTTCACGAAATGAGTCAGCAGCGTTCATCACAAAGTTCGAAAGTGGTACCGATATATTAGGCCTAATTATTATGTAAAAAATAAAAATAACTTACCCTTCTCTCTTTTAAAAGCTTTGAAACACACTAAAAACTAATTTCGCGCAAGCAAACACAAAAAATCTATTTTACTTTTATGTCACTGCGAATAGAACTTCAAAATGGCGTCCCAATCCCAGACGGCTTGCTTTGCACCTTGTTCCGTATTCCAAATTCAAATAGAATGCGCGTTGCTTGCGCGTCGAAATCGAGTACAGTGTGACCAACTACAAAATAGAAATCAAATCATTGCTTATCTGAAAAACTACCAAATAAAGTCAGTGGTAACGACAGAGCAATTTACTTGGGTTTGTGACTTTTACTTTCATCATCATGAATGTCTAAAATATATAATTATTTAATCCCAATATTTTTGACACGGCGCACGCTATCAATTTGCAGAGAATGTATATAAAATAATTAAATTAAAACTAAATATTGTAAGTTTGTTTAATTTACTAATATACAAAGTTTACATTTTGTTTTTATAGGATAAGGGTGATAACGAGCACATAGTCCACCTGATGGTAAGTGGTTGCTGCGGCCCATAGACATCTATATCTATCCTCGACTACGAATCAAAATGCAGATGCATTGTCACCCGTGAGGACTAAGATGGAATGCCTCATTTCCAGTAAAAAAGGGTCTCCAGTTCTCTACACTCACTATACGAAACAGCAGCATTAAGCTGCTATTTAACGCTGGTATTCTGTGAGAGCGTAGTCCTTCCCCGGTTGAGCCGACCCATTCGTGCTACAGTTATACCAGAAATATAACTGCAGCATAGCTATACATATCATAAAATGATATGAAAAATAGTACCGTATGTTGGGGTAAATAGAAATCGCGGGGTGAATAGACACAAGTCTGGGTATTTGATAAAGTTGTCTCTAGGTTTGTCTACAGCTCGGGAACGTCTGTTTATTATTTGCTAATAGTTTTCCTTTATTCTGGTAACCTTTAAATTAGTGTCAAGATAGTAAAGAAAAAGGCGGTTTTTATAAACGTGTGAGTAAAATTGGTTTTATGCTGTGTAAAACTTTTAATTAAACATCAAGTTCTTCAATGCTTCCTAGTTACAATTTTTTTAGAGAGTTGAGTTTCTCATCTATTATTTATACAAAGATGAATATCGATATTCAACGATTTCATAATTTTAAATAATAAAATCAGGATATTGTTATTTTTTCTCAAATTCAAGGTAAATAGATACGACTGAGGGATGAATAGAAACGTAAAAGAGACCATTTACTTACTACATAAATCAATTTAAGTAACTCATTGAAACTAAATTAAAAAAAAAGTTTAAGCCATATTAAAGGTATTTAATAGTCCATTTCTATAATAAATGTTAAATTTTGATATTTGTTACACATTAAAATTCCAAATACTTGAGGTTTTACCATTACACCAGATAGAAGTTCCTAAATTTACGAGCTGATTTTTGAGCTGAAAATATTTTACGTTTTCATAACTCAATATAAAATTTTCTGATATTTTTACTTATATTGTTTTTTTTTAATATATCTCAAAAGTTTTTTTAAATATATATGTCAAAAATCATTGATGGTCGTCTGACTCTGCAAGAAGTTATGTAGTCACTTTTTCCAAAACAGAAGAAAACTGCTACTTTGGTCACACTAGCATGGTATGGTCATGCAGAAGTAAGGAAGTGCGAACGTAGATAAAGGATATGAGTGCGAAAGAAGTGCACATAGACAAGAAACTATTGACCATGGATCTTTTCTATCTGTTAGGCCGGCCTCATACATACGGAATTCCGTTTCGAGATTCCGTTTCGATATTCCGATTCGGGATTCCGAACGCAGTAAGTCCATATAAAATCTATGACCCGCCACACACGTGTACGTTATTTTTCCGTACGGAATTTCTCCGATTCGAGATTCCGTATGACCGTCTGTGCGTTCGGGATCCCGAACGGAAAAAAGCCGCTCCGAACGCACGTCTTCCATAGATTTTGTACGAGTCGCAACACACGTAAATTCCGTACGGAATGCGCTCAGTGTTCGTCGCACGACCGAAGCAAGTAGGTGTATTTATATATGTTTTTAAATTTAATCTTATAGGTGTATAGCTTTTCGTAACCTTTCATCTTATTTTATTTAATAATTCCTCGATAGAATTTACATACATAAATATTTAAAAAATTACTCTGGATAGATAGATCTTTTTACATAGTATTGACTATATTGTAAGCTTAGGGTGATAAGGGGATGCACCTAGTAAGAATGATACAGCAACAATGGAATTTGCAATTAGAAAATCGTCGTCATTATTCGCTGGCAGAATGTCTAGACTCAATGGCTAACGTCTCTCAACTGACCTTTGTTATTCCGAACAGAAAAAAAACGTGTGTGTGTGATGTATTCACGGAATTCCGTATGTATATGGCGGGCCTTATTGTTCTGAGTTCAGTCTACCCCTCCCCCCCTGAGCCTACGAATTTTGAGTATATATAAAAAAATACTGACAGACGTAGTTCAAATAGCACATCTAAAAAATATTTAAACTGCACCGATGTAGTTTAGAAATAAAAAATAGTTAAAAATCGCTCACCTTATAACGTCGATATTTCATCAAATAATTAGAATTGGGTATTTTTTGCTATATAGAAAAACTGCACCTTGATTGAGTATAATTGCAATATCGTTAAAAATGCATAAAATGCAATATGAAGTGCAAAAAGTTAATAAAACCAAATTTGTTAAGTGTCAAATGCGCCACCCCCTACTCCAGCCTACGAATTACGAGTAGTTATATTAAAAAAAATACTGACAGACGTAGTTCAAATAGCATATCTCAAAAATTTTAATTATCTATACTGAGCCCATGAAGTTTAGAAATAAAAAATAGTTCAAAATCGCTCACCTTATAACGTCGATATTACTTCATGTAATGAGAATTGGGTACTTTTTACGATACGAAAACAACTGCACCCTGCTTAAATGTTACTACTACTGTTATAAATGCATAAATTGCAATATTAAGTGCAAATAGTAAATAAAATGATAAGTGTCGAATGCACCCGGGGCATTGGCGCATACGCGGCGTAGAAATGATAATATAGGGTTTTTATCTTCCGAGGTTTTCTTTATTGGCCTCATTAGTAGCAAGTTTACGCAGATCATTTTTTCATTGGAAAACTAGCTGATACCCACGACTTCGTCCGCGCTCTTGAAACTTTAATAACTTTATATTAAATGAAGATGTCGCAATACTTTTTTTTTAGGTAAGGGTCAAGTGTCTAAGACATAAACCTTAGAAATACTAATTAAATTCTAGTCAGTAGTTTTTCCGTGATGCCCGCATAGCTGCAAACCTCCATCTCTATTTTTGAGGATGACGCAAGCTCAAACGATGAAAAAATATTCTTGAAGAACAGGATCATCAATGTAAATTAAAGCACGAAGAATTGGTTCCAAATGAGGTATTTGAATCCACATTAGCAAAGCATAAAACTTTGGGTAACCATTTTAACGAATATTATGCTGGTGTTAATAATACTCGCTGGTCTCTACCACCGAATAGAGGAAGGCTTCATGGACATAATATTGTTGTTGTGTATTCTGGATCTAAAGGAGGGCATTGTATGCATTATGTATATACACAGAAAACAAAGCTTTTGAAAAACTAATTTGCTGCGACTTTCATATTTTTCCGTACTTGGCATGGATGAAACCTACAGCCATGTACCTCAGCATCATCGCAAACTAGTAGAGTGGGTTTCTGCTACGACTGCGGAAGATCGCGCAATAAAAGTACGCACCTATCGTGCACTGTGGTAAATTCGTTAGTCCAGATAATTCCTGGTACATATTACGTTCCTATTGTTTAATAATAAGATTAGTAATAAATATGTAAACTGGTCTGTGATCTCTAATTAGTATGCCATTTTCATGTATAAATATTTTTTTTACATTTTTTCTTTTTAATAAAGATGTAGGTACTTATAGCTGTTTTTGTTTATTAAATATGATTACTAAGTGTTACCCTGTTTTATTTAAAGTAAAAGTACTATTTATTTGATATTTTACAGTTTTCTTCTTATTTTAAATTGGACTACATAATAATTATGCAATCCACGTGACCACTTACGTGAATTTATAACGCGAGACCACTGCAGGATTATAACTGTTTATGCTGACCAGTGCTGTCAGCTTAGCGACTTTGTCGCCTGAAATTACAAGCGAGCAATTTAGCTACTCAAATTTTTTGCGTTTTTTCTGGTGACTTGACTCTTATTTTAGTTTTTTTTTATAAGGAAGGGTGACAAACTAGCACACAGTCCACTTGATGGTAAGTGGTTACTGTGACCTATAGACATTTACATCTATTCTCAATAAAGATTCAAAATGCAGATGTAACCCGTGAGGACTAAGACGGAATGCCTCTTTTCCAGTAAAAAGGGTCTCCGGTTCTCTACACTCACCAAAAGAAACATAGCAGCGTTAAGCTGCTATTTTACGCTGGTATTCTGTGAGAGCGTGGTCCTTCCCCGGTCGAGCCGACCCATTCGTGCTACAATTATACTACTAATATAGCTGCAGCATGGCTTTACCACGTAAAATAGATATCTTCAATTTTTTTCACAATAAGAAAATTTGTTGCTTTAGATACACACATATTTCATTATTTTATTTTTATAAAATGGCCTATTAAACATTCTTAAATAAAATCTTGTTTTGTCTATGGTTACAATTTTTTCTCTGAGAGTTCGTATCCTATAAAAAATAAATAGAAAATCTTGATGAAATCTGGCTAATAATTTGAAGTACCAATCCACATACAATGGTTAAAATTTAAATTTGTCATCCTGCTTCTATATTTTGATTTTATGTGGTTCATTCTTGAAAATTCTTGAAGATTCGCATGCGTACCCGTGAAATTTAAGAGATAATGCCATAAAATTTCGATATTTATTATTTCCAGCACTAATTCATCGTAATTTTATATTCCAAAATAGTTTCTAATCTTTTCCGAAACATGAACTCCAAGATAGGTTCAAGATTCCTAAATTGTTGGAAACGAGAATTAAATTCCTCCAAATGTGTATCTAATTGTGGGGCAAACGAAATGGTATCAATATCTTTTTCACATACATTCATGTGATCGAACATTCTTTATAATCTTTAAATTTGGGAAGTGTGAAGTTGAAT